TCCTTTCATTCTTTCCTTCCTCTCCCTCTTTTCTGTCCTTCCTTCCTTCCTCCTTTCCACCCTTCCTTCATTGACTCTCTCTCCTTTCCTTCCTTCCTTCCTTTCCTTCTTTCTCTCTCTCCCTCTCTTCCTTTCTTTTCTTCCTTTCTCCCTCTTTTTCTTTTTGTTTTTCTTTCTTTCTTTTCTTCCTTCCTTCTTCTTTCCTTCCTCTCCCTCTTTTTTCCTTCCTTCCTTCCTTCTTTCTCTTTCTTTTTGTTTCTTTCATTCTCTGTTTCTTTGTCACTTTCTCTTTCCTTCCTTCCTTCTCCTTTCCTTCCTCTTCCTCTTTCCTTCCTTCCTTCTTTCTCTCTTTCTTTGTCTCTTTCTCTTTCCTTCCTTCCTTCTCCTTCCCTCCTTCCTCTTTTCTTCCTTCTTTCTTTCTTTCTCTCTTTCATTCTCTCTTTCTTTGTCACTTTCTCTTTCCTTCCTTCCTTCTCCTTCCCTTCCTCTTCCTCTTTCCTTCCTTCCTTCCTTCTCTTTTTCTTTCTTTCATTCTCTCTTTGTTTGTCACTTTCTCTTTCCTTCCTTCTCCTTCCCTTCCTCTTCCTTTTTTCCTTCCTTTTTGCTTCCTCCTTCCTTCCTTCCTTCTTCCTTCCTTCCTTCCTTCCTTCCTTCCTTCCCTCCCTATACCCACCCATCCATCCATCCTAGTTTGGGTTGCTTCTTATATTCTTTGTTCAAAAAATAAAAATAAAAATTGATTTATAAAAGACAAAAGAAGGTGGATGCTCTCTTTGGAAAAAGCAGGTGTTTGAAACAATATCAGGCAGATCTGGTGAGATATATATATTTTCTTTTTTCATTTTAAAGTAAACTGCCCCCCCCCCCAAAGGTCCACCAGAGACTCTTTTCCAGGAAGGCCTTTAGCCCGTTAATAGCCTCCCCCCAATTTCTCCTCTTCTCCGGTTTCATCCGTTTCTATTTCAACAGACGTTCAAAAGGCAGCAATTTAATTTTTTTCAAGTCTTTTTCAAATCGTTTTTAAGCCCGAAATAAGATGGAGAGAAATGGAATCAAAGCAGAGCTAAAAACAGAATGTCTCCATTCAAAAAGGACTCTCGGATGGCAAAAGAGACAATAAAACCAGGCAACGGCCGAAAAAAACAAGAATTGTCTTGGCGTGATTCACTCATAGACTCTTGGGAGGTTTTTGCTATAAAGGTTCAACGAAATACAGGGAGTCCTCGACTTACAAATTTCATTTAGTGACCGTTTGCTCAATAGTAGCAACTGTCAGAGGGACCTCGGAGTCCTAGTGGACAATCACTTAAATAGGAGCCAGCCGTGTGCTGCAGCTGCCAAAAAGGCCAACACAGTGCTGGGCTGCATTAACAGAGGGAGAGAATCAGGATCACGTGAAGGGTTAATACCACTTTACAAGGCCTTGGTAAGGCCACACTTGGAATACTGCATCCAGTTTTGGTCACCACGATGTAAAAAAGATGCTGAGACTCTGGAAAGAGTGCAGAGAAGAGCAACAAAGATGACTAGGGGACTGGAGGCTAAAACATATAAGGAATGGCTGCTGGAATTGGGTATGTCTAGTTTAACGAAGAGAAGGACAAGGGGGGACATGATACCAGCCTTCCAGTATCTCAGGGGCTGCCCCAAAGAAGAGGGAGTCAAGCTATTCTCCAAAGTGCCTGAAGGCAGGACGAGAAGCAATGGATGGAAACTCATCAAGGAGAGAAGCAACCTGGAACTAAGGAGAAACTTCCTGACAGTTAGAACAATTAACCAGTGGAACAACCTGCCTCCAGAAGTGGTGGATGCTCCAACACTGGAAGTTTTTAAGAAGAAGCCATTTGTCTGAAATGGTATAGGGTTTTCTGCCTGAGCAGGGGGTTGGACTAGAGGACCTCCAAGGTCCCTTCCAACTACTACTACTTCTTCTTCTTCTTCTTCTTCTTCTTCTTCTTCTTCTTCTTCTTCTTCTTCTTCTTCTTCTTCTTCTTCTTCTTCTTCTTCTTCTTCTTCTTCTTCTTCTTCTTCTTCTTCTTCTTCTTCCTCTTCCTCTTCCTCTTCCTCTTCCTCTTCCTCTTCCTCTTCTTCTTCTTCTTCTTCTTCTTCTTCTTCTTCTCCTTTCTCCTTCCTCCTCCTCCTCCTCCTCCTCCTCCTCCTAATTATCATCATCATCATCATCATCATCATCAGTGTGTGGCGATCACGACCCATTTAAGATGCGCCAAAGTCACTTTGTGGGAGGGGTCTCCCCAATCTCTCCTCAAAGCAGGAGAACCTGCTCCTCTATCCAGGCTTAATTCAGGTTGCACACAGTAGGGTATCCGTTGCTGACCTGCATGTGTGAATGCCCACCCATCCCCGCCTTTCCATGCATGCAGCTTCCAGAACCTCCTCCTCACTCTCTGTCCAGGAATCTTCCTGCTCTCCAAGTCTACCTCCTTAGTCGGTTAAAATCAAATTAAAAAGCGTAACCTTCAGATAAATCTCTCCGATCCACTCCTCTCCTTACGACCTGCATCTCCAAGAGAAAAACGTCGGGACGTCCCGGGCACCGTCTTCCTGCGTCCTTCACAGGTCTCCTTCCAGCATCAGGCTCCCCCCACCGTCCGTCCTCCCCTCCCTCCACACACACACACACACACACACACACACAGCGCCGCACCGCCCCGGGCGCAGCCACACGCCTTCTGCCTCGCCTCGCCTCTCCCATCCACCGGACTCGCTGCTCCGACAGCGTGGGGAGAAGAGCCGCTCCGTCCCGCCCCGCCGTCCGACGCCCCCCAAAGAAGAGGCAGGCACAGAGAAACCCTCTGAGAACGTGCAGAGAGCCGGAGGGTGCTTCTGCCCAGTCCCCCGCCCGGCGTCCCGCAAGGAAAGGTAGGCAAGAGAGAGCTCCTCTGAGGACGTGCAGAAAGCCGAAGGATACGAGGCCAGGGCTCCTCCCTTCTGCCCATCCACCGCCCGGCGTCCCCAAACAAGAGGCAGGCGCCTCTGAGAACGTGCAAAGAGCCGGAGAGGGCCGGGCGCCCAAGTCGGGGCTCCCTTCTGCTCGCTCCGTCGCCAGACGTCCCGAAAGAAAAGGCAGGAAGAGACAGCGCTTCAGAGAACGTGCAGAGAGCCAGCGTGCCCGAAAGGGACAGAGAGAGCGCCTCTGAGAAGGTGCAGAGCGCCGGAGGGTGCCAGGCGCCAAAGCCGGGGCTCCCTTCCGCCCATCCCCCCCCCGACGCCCCCAAACCAGAGCCAGGCAAGAGACAACGCCTCTGAGAACGTGCAGAGAGCCGGAGGGTGCGAGGCGCCCAAGCCGGGGCTCCCTACTGCCCACTCCCCAAACCAGACGCAGGCAAGAAACAGAGCCTCTGAGAACGTGCAGAGCGCCGGAGGGTGCCAGGCGCCAAAGTCGGAGGGGGGCTCCCTTCTGCCCATCCACCGTCCGACGCCCCCAGACCAGAGCCAGGCAAGAGACAACGCCTCTGAGAACGTGCAGAGCGCCGGAGAGGGCCGGGCGCTCCCTTCTGCCCACTCCCCAAACCAGAGGCGGCCACGAAACAGAGCCTCTGAGAACGTGCAGAGCGCCGGAGGGTATCCCCACCTGCAAAGCATCCCAGCAACCGGCGGAGGCGGAGGAGGAGACCCAAGCAGGCGTTCCCCCCCCTCGACACCCGCTCCCCCCCCCCCCTCCCCCCCTCCCTCCCCGGAGTCGAGCCGGGGGCAGCCTCCTCCGCTCTCCCCGCCTCCCACCATCTCCGTCCGGAGCAGCCTCACCGCAGCTTCCCTCCGGCTGCCGTCGAAGCCACCGCTCGCTCGCTCGCTCCCTCGGCCGGCCCGGCGGCGGAGCAGCTGAAAATCCGGACGGCAGCCCTCCCGGGCCGCGCCCGCGGGGATGCCGGCACGGGGTTAGCATGGCCCGGCGCCCGCCCGGCCTCGCTCCGGCCCCTCCGTTCCTCCTCCTGCTCCTCCTCCTGCTCCCTCCGCTGCAGGGCCGGGGCTGCTCGCCCTGCTTCTGGTTCGCCACGCCGGACACGGTGCAGTGCCGCTTCGTGCAGCTGCAGGAGCCGCCGGCAGAGCTGCCGTCCGCCGTCCGCAACCTGACCGTGGCCGGCGGCAACCTGACCGTCCTGGGCCGGGCGGCCTTCGCGGGTGGCTCGGGGCCGCGGGGCTCGGCTCGGCGCCCGCTGCTCCACTTAACGTCGCTGGCTTTGCTCCGGAGCCGCATCGAAGCGCTGGAAGAGGCGGCTTTCGCCGGGCTGCCGTCCCTGGCCGCCTTGGATTTAAGCCACAACCCGCTGCGTCGCGTCTCGCCCGGCGCCTTCCTCTTCTGCGCCCGCTTGCAGCGGCTCGGCTTGAACGGGGCGCTGCCGTCCGGCCGTCCGGCCGAGGAGCTGCTGGGCTGGGCGCTGGCCAACCTCAGCCTGGCCCGGCTGGAAGTGGCCGGCAACGGGCTGCGCGCTCTGCCTCCGGGCTGGGCGCTGCCGTCCTCTCTGCAGGAGCTGGATGCGCGCAACAACTCGCTGCAGGCGCCGCGGCCGGAGGGGCTGGCGTCGGCGGCGCCGCTGCTGCGCCTGCAGCTGGCCGGCAATCCTCTGACTTGCGACTGCCCCGCTCTGCGACCGCTGCTGCTCTGGCTGGGCAACGCCACGTGGCGGGCGCCGGATCGGCGGGAGCTGCGCTGCGCTGCCCCGCCGCCGCTGCGGGACGCGCTGCTTTTGCGCCTGAGGCCCCGCCAGCTCAAGTGCCTGGAGGAAGGGGCGGCCTGGGGGCTGCTGGAGCCCGTCGGGGGTCCCGAACCGAAGGAGCTGGAGACGGTATCCTACGTCTTCCTGGGCCTGGTCCTGGCGCTGATCGGGCTGGTCTTCCTGATGGTGCTGTACCTGAACCGACGGGGCATCAAGCGGTGGCTGAACAACCTGCGGGAGGCCTGCCGGGATCAGATGGAGGGATACCAGTACCGGTACGAGCAGGATAGTGACCCCCGGAGGGCCAGCCCGGGGGGTCTCTGAGACCGGGCACGGAGGGGGACCGGGCAGGTGGAGGACACCCTGCGTCCTGAGCTAGCCAGTCTGGCCAGCTTGGGGAGGTTGGCACCCCAAGCTTTCTCTCTGGGGCAGCATCTTCTGATCTCCTGCACACCCCCCCCCAAAAAAGGCAGGACCCCCCCCCCGAGGATCTGAGACATTAGGGGTCCTGGGGTTGGTGCCCAGGTTTGTGATGCCCTTGCCAGCTGTCCCTTTTCCTGAGATGACATCTGGCAGCTAAGCAGGGTCCGAGCTGGTCGAGGTTTGGAGGGGAGACCTGGTGGACCCTAGAAGGGGAAAAAAAAATCCACCCTGATCTCGGAAGAAGGGACTGTTGGCTCCAGGACTGGCTGAACTGAGACTGTGCCTTAAAAGCTGCCTAGATAACTAGCCCAGGAGTTAACCGTGGCTAATCTGGAGAGACTAAACCAGGTTGGACTCTGCTAGTAAATTAGATGAGAGGCGAGCAGGAAGTTCCTGGGGTTGTGAAAAACGGCCAGGGGAGGGGAGGAATTCAACAGCCATACTGGAATCCGTAGGATTTCCACCAATACGGATTTCATCTCGTGAGGACTGAAATCCGCTGAAATGCAACTTTGTTTATTAAGCCCTATGGATGCTCCACTCTTGAACCCAGGATGCTGGATTTGGCCAAGGTCCCTCGCTGCCCACTTCATGGAAGACGGTTGTGCGAATTCCTCCACCGCACAGGTCTGACGCAGGTTTTCCTGGAAAGCCAGAGTTTGTGCAATACCGGGGCTGCCTTCCGCTGAAATCCCCGCAGCCTGGGCTGCCATCCACCCAACTTTTCAACTTTGCAGTCCTCCCCGTTATCACTCAGGGGTGTCGGATACCCAGAAAATGCCACGAACTGAGCAAATAGATTCTGCCAACGCAGCCGGGGGGGGGGGGAATTCCTTGCAATAATTTGGACGTGGATGGGGGGTACAATGGCTGATTTTCCCAAAGGAATTTGGGGATTTGATTCCTGCGAACGAACGGGTTCCAGAGTACCGACGGGGGCTCGCCAGTTCAACAAACGGGCGTCAGGGATTGTGAGGAAGGGGCTTCCAATGTCTTCCCCTCTTCATTAGAGGTTTGCCTCTCCTTTTAGAAGAAATATTATCGGAGAAAGCTAATTTTTCCCCTCCTGTCTGTGGATCTCCTCCCCCCTCCCAAATTCCAATGGATCCATGCCAGCTACGGGGAGGGGGGGTCCCCATCTTCCTCTGCCCTTAGTCAGCACAGCCCTCCCCCCTCCTTTCCCCAGCAGCATGGGTTTAGGAGTCAGAAAGCATGAATTTTGAATTATTTCAAACCCGATTCCCGTAGACTTTGGAGCGTCAGGGAATATTGCAATAGAACAGTTTAAAAAAAAACAACAACCTGTGTTTCAGATGATTTCAGAAACACACATCCCTAAAGGGGAGAGAATGTCTGGAAGTGAAGCCTGGATGAATTTCTTCAGAGGAGACCCATTCAAACAAAACAATCGTTCCTTCGGAACCGGTTTGGTTCCAAGTGGGTTTTTCTGCAGCTGTAGAAAAAAACGGTATCTCAAAGTCGCCGGCTGCAGTCGCTCGTTTAATTCTTATTTTTTTACCTTTGCAGCGTTATTACTCAACGAGCACGTAGGAAGTACAGCCGAGGCCTTCCTATATTTACTGCTGCTCCATATTAATTCTGATTTTTTTTTTCCCCTCCCACTGTTGAAGGAGATCTGTAAAAGACGAGCTCAGGGGAAACCAAGGCATCAGGGAACAACTTAAAATCTTAATAAACTTCGTTTTTTTTCTTCCAAGGACCCCGAAATTCTTGGCTCAGGGCTGCTGTTTTTATCCACACTGGATTTCACTGGAAATCCCCCTGCTGTTTTTATTGCATGCAGGCCTAGATGACCTTTACCCCCACCACCCCCACCTTCCACCCACCCACTCAAATCTCCCTCCCAATGCAGGTGACCTTAAAACACTGAAGGTTGTGGCCCAGGAGAAAAGTCCAGTTTGTCATAGAATCCTAGCGTTGGGAGCGACCTTGGCTTAGAGGCCATCTAGTCAACCCCCTCTGCTCAGTGCAGGCTGAACTCATTAAAGCAGTGGTTATGAATAAGGTAAATACCCACACCAGAGGGCAGGACAAGAAACGGTGGGAATTATCAAGGAGAGAAGCAACCTGGAATTAAGGAGAAACTTCCTGACAGGGAGGACAATTAACCAGTGGAACAGCTTGCCACCAGAAATCGTGGGCGCTCCAACACTGGAGGTTTTTAAGAAGAGACTGGACAGCCATTTGTCTGAAATGGTATAGGGTTTCCTGCCTGCGCAGGGGGTTGGACTAGATGACCTCCAAGGTCCCTTCCAGCTTCTATTCTATTCTATTCTATTCTATTCCTGTATGTCTATTCTATTCTATTCTATTCTATTCTATTCTATTCTATTCTATTCTATTCCTGTATGTCTATTCTATTCTGTAATTCTATTCTATTCTATTCTATTCTGTAATTCTATTCTATTCTATTTTATTCTATTCTGTATGTCTATTCTGTAATTCTATTCTATTCTATTCTATTCTATTCTGAATGTCTATTCTATTCTATTCTATTATTCTATTCTATTCTATTCCTATTCTATCTATTCTATTCTGTAATTATATTCTATTCTGTAATTCTATTCTATTCTATTCTATTCTATTCTATTCTATTCTATTCTGAATGTCTATTCTATTCTATTCTATTCTGAATGTCTATTCTATTCTATTCTATTCTATTCTATTCTATTCTATTCTATTCTATTCTATTCTATTCTCTGGGATGGGCAGCAAAGACTTATGCCCACAATTGAAATCAAACTTTCTGTTGAGTTTTTTGACCTTTTTTTTTTTACTGTTAAACGAATAAGCAGTCGTTAAGTGGATCTGGCTCCCCCCCCTCCATTGACTTTGCTTGTCAAAAGGTCACAAAAGGAGAAAACGTGATCCTGGGACGCTGCGACCGTCATCAACAGGAGTCAGTTGCCAAATGCCCAAATTTTGATCACACGACCGTGGGGAGTATTGTGATGGTTGTAAATGCGAGGACCAGTTCTAGGTCACTTTTTTTTTAGTGCCGTCGTAACTTGGAATGGGGACTAAAGTGATGTGAGTCAAAGATGAATAGAACTTTTAAGATCGGTGGTCTTTTAGTCCCGTCCACTTCCTGGCTGGGGGATCCTGGGAGTTGAAGTCCACACGTCTTCTCAGGGGGCCAAGGTTGAGAAACTCTGCACTGGAGGGTCCCCAATGGAGCACTATCCAGCCCCCCCCCTTTTTTTTTTGATCCATTGGAGAAAATGCATCGGATGGCCTGAATCCTCTCCCGCTCTTCCAGGCACAAGAGAAGGCAGATAGGCCCTGGATGTTTTCAGGCCTCTGGACACTGCAGGAGATGGCAATGTGTGATGCTTTTCACAAACAGTGCGGTGGTTTTAGATTTAGCTTTGGATAAGGAGATGGAAGAGAGGAGAGGAGAGGAGAGGAGAGGGGAGGGGAGGGGAGGAAGGAAGGAAGGAAGGAAGGAAGGAAGGAAGGAAGGAAGGAAGGAAGGAAGGAAGGAGAAAAAATGAGGGAGGGAAGAAAGGAAGGAAAAGAAAGAGGGAAAGAAAGAAGAAAGAAAGAAAATGGAAGGAAGGAGGAAAGGAAAGAAAAATAAAGGAGAGAGGAAGAAAAAAGAACAAAAGAAAGAGAAAATAAAGGGAAGAAAGGAAGGGAAGAGAAAGGGAAGGGAAGAAAAAGGAAGGAAGGAGAAGGAAGGAAGGAAGGAAGGAGAAAAATGAGAAAGGGAGGGAAGAAAGGAAGGGAAAGAAAAAAAATGGAAGGAAGGAGGAAAGGAAAGAAAAAAGAAAGGAAAGAAAGGAAGGAAGAAAAAAGAACAAAAGAGAAAATAAAGGGAAGAAAGGAAGGAGGAAAGAAAGGGAAGGAGGGAAAAGGAAGGAAGGACAGAAAAAATGAGAAAGGGAGGGAAGAAAAAGAAACGGAAGGAGGAAAGGAAAGAAAAAGAAAGGAAAGAAAGGAAGAAAAAAGAACAGAAGAAGAGAAAAGGAAGAAAGGAAGGAGGAAAGAAAGGGAAGGAAAGAAAGAAAAAGGAAGGAAGGAAGGTAGAAGAACAAGAAAGGAAAGAAAGGAAGAAAAAAGAACAGAAGAAAGGAGAGAAAATAAAGGGAAGAAAGGAAGGAGGAAAGAGGGAACGAAAGAAAGAAAAAGGAAGGAAGATAGAAGAACAAGAAAGAAAAAGAAAGGGAAGAAAGAAAGGAGGAAGGAAAGAAAGAGAAGAGAGGAAAAATAAAGGGAAGAAAGGAAGGAGGAAAGAGAAAGAAAAGAAAGGGGGGAAAAGAGAGAGTGGTTTCATGCTACAATTGAGCCACCGTGTTTTGTTTTAAAACGGTGCGCCCAGCCCCGAGAAGCGGCTATCTTGGAAACTGGATGATGGCTTGTTTCTATGCTGGAAACTGGGTTGTAAGTACATCACCTTTACAATTCTGTTGTCTGTTTATTGTTGGCGGAAGAAGGAAATGGGGAAGGAACACACAATGCGACTGGGTGTAATTATGGTAAGACGTCCAGGGGCTGTGCTCCCAATTCAACTGGCCAGCATTGCTTGAGAGGAAACCAATTTTAAACCATCATCTCTGTTGTTGGTGCACCTTTCCTCAACGCTAGATTAGCCTCTTGGGCACCGCCCATCCCATCCCATCAGGTCCTTGAATGGCCCAGATGGAGGGATATTGATAGATACCTCTTCTAGGATGGCTTAATTAGCTCCCCTGCAGATTTCAGGGGGCTGGACTAGATGACCTTTGGGAACCCCTTCCGGTGCTACAAATGGATGATTTTTTTTCTGATTTCCCAGGAATCCTCCTCTTGGAAATGATGGCTGGGGAATTTTGGGAGTTGTAGTCCGCCGGTCTTAAAGTAACCCAGGTTGAGAAACCCTGCTTTAGACCGTGAAGTTG